AGAAGACAACTCGTGGGAGTCAGTTCTCTCCCTCCCTATGTGAGTATCAGGGCTGGAACTCCAGCCGCCAGGCCTGTCAGCAAGCACCTTCACCTGAGCCCTCTCTCCTGGCTGCACTCACCTCTGTTAAGCAGGTTTGGAAGACTGAGCGAAGGTCTTCCTGGTTTATCCGCAAGCACGTTGCCAGCTGAGATGGTACCACACCCACTCTAGAAAACAAGCGGGGGTTGGAGGGGGGGCTCATAGACTCCAGGGACCCCTAGGAAGGGAAGCTGGCTATTTCTAAATGTGCCGAGACCAGCTTCGGTGGTATTGGGATCACTCTAAGCCAGGCTGCCTAGGCTGCCTGTTCAGCCAGTTAGGCAAACAGCGTCTTCCAGTGGACTTGTAGCTGCAGTCGTCCCGGTGAGCCAAAGAGTGGAGTGCGGTGGAGAAGAAAATTAGGGTCCGAATCAGGAAAGACTCCATGAACTCTCTGAGGGCAGGAATGGGATCTCATCTTGTTCTCTGTTAGGAGGGGTTAGGATTTTGATGGGGGCCTGGAAGTTGGCTTCTGGACTGAGAACAGAGCAACCCCAGGACTGGGGCTCTTCTCTCAGGAGCAGCTAGAGAGATTTAGGGTGAGGCCCATTTGTTCTGGGCCTGGGTGTGGAAAAAGTATCCCATGGAGTGTTACAGCTTAGCTTTTTTAGAATGAGATCGTTGGTGGCAGTGGAAACTCTGGCGTTACAAAGCCTATGGCGATACCAAAGTGTTGCAGCTCTTGGTTAAGCTGCTATGCTGAGCGTGGCAGAGGTACAGGTGGAAACCCATGCCTGGTGGGCTTGCAGCTGAGACACAGGCCTGGCGGGGCCCAGGACCAGTGGGCAAGCTCAGTGAAACATGTCCCAGCAGGGAATAAATGACAAATCTCAGGTGGCCATGGTGGAAGGCTGACGGTATCCCTTAGCATGCAACCAGCCAGGGATTTATAAACCCTTGGGCAGTGGGAGGGATTTCAAGGATGAATGTGTTTGATTCACTGGGGCCAGGGGTCCTGGGATACTTGGTTTACACATAGTACTTCATTTTACATGCAGTAGCAGGGCCCTATTACAAGAAGGAAACCATAGCACTTCATTATCCTATGGGTGGGAGAATCTCCAAGTACAATTGAAAGTCACTGCTGAAGACTAAGATCCTTAACAGGGTGGGGCATTTCTAGAAATTCCCAGATGCTTGCTGGACCAGACCAGAAAGAGTGACCTGTAATCTGCCCTGATGGCTATATGATGCTCCTTAGAAAACCTGGGGTATCCAGATCAGGGTGGTTACTTTTGGAATGCCACTGAGAAAAGGGAGTCCACCGACATAGATGGAACCCAAGCAAATGGCTATCCAGAGATGTCGGACCTCAACTTAACCCAGCAAATCTCCACATATGTAGGGCTTGGTGTCCCCAAGACAGGCCTCTCAACCAAGCCTCTATGCATGCTTCGTCCATGAGAAGCTGTCATTTATGGGGCCAGAAGCAGACTCTTCCTCGGGACGCTCAAGGACAGCGTTTCAGGGAGAGATGGAAGGAAAGTTAGGACACCCTGTGCACATCCCTGCTGCAATTTGTGATGCCAACCCAGAGTTTCTCCCAGGAATGGAAAGTACCCATTGTCCACCTTTCTCAGAGGCAAGGTCCCTGGGGAGGTGTTACTCTGTAGGAAGTCCCTGAGTGAGGCTGGACTAAGGCCGAGGTGAGTGGACTTGCCATTCAGCCCAAATGTTGGGCAGCATTTGGGTATTTTCTCTCCCTGGCATCTACCGTCTGTCTGAGGTCTGGGCCTTTCCCAAGGCTGCTGACTGCATTCACCTCTGGGCATCCTGTGTCCTTTGCTGATGACTTCCTGTGCATGCCATCTGTCATTATATATACTGATGTCCCTGGAGGTTATAGCACTGCCCATGCCTGTGGGCACAGACCTACTCCGTTAAGTTGTAGTCTAGGCTGCATGCCTCAGCTGCCCCGTGGCCATGCACCTGCGGACCTTCTTTCTCAATTTTCCATTCCTCTCCTGTGGTCTCGGCTCCTAGAGGCTGGGTGATCATACTGATGAGGGAGGCTAGGACCCGCTTTTTCAGTAGTTTGCTGTGGGTCCCAACCGGCCACATTTCCTTAGCTAAAAAGTGTGCATTTCGGGGCTGGGGAGATGTAACTCAGTGTCCACTGTGCAAACAGAAAATATGAAATGGAAATCATTGAGGGCAGAGGCTTGGTCTCACTGCCTTGGAAACATCTCTGGAAACAGTTTCTAGGTTGCCCAGGATATGTGTTTCACAGAGTTTGTAACAAGTTGTCATTATCAAATGAAGGTCATATGTATGCAAAAACTGAGGGGGCTGAAGAGATGGGGCATCAGGTAAAGATGCTTGCCACCAAACCCTGCAACCTGAGCTTGAACCCAGGACCCACGAGGCAGAAGGAGAGCCCTGACTTCTGCAATTTGTCCTCTGACTTCCTTCACATTCTCCATGGAGAATTCACACACCTAATACACATGTCTACACATGTGTACACATACACACACATACAACTGACTAATCAATGTTAAAATTTTCAAGTAAGCTGAAACACCTCTTACTGCGGTTGGCAGTCAAGGCAGTGCCAGGAGTCAAGATGGCTGCCTCTGACAGACTTAGAGGTTCCATTAATTTCACATTAGTCAAGATAAAGACACCTTAGACCCTTCCCTATAGAGCTTTGCGTTTTCTTTTTTGGTTAGGGTCTCACTATGTAGACCAGGCTGGTCTGGAGCGCACAGAGATCCATCTAGCTCTCCCTCATGAACGCTGTGATTAAAGGTGTGGGTTACCACATGCGGCTAGGCTTTCCTTTTTGATAAGACTGTCTGTACTTGGAAAAAAAAGAGCCCTTTGATCCAGTTTTCCCCATGGCAAAGCATTTATCTGAAGGAAATAACTGAACAGAGAAAGAAAATTTCACAGATTAAAGTGCGGTGAGATTTGTATTTGCTAAAAGCGGGAAGGAAACCAAATGTTTACCAACAGATCTACAAGTAAAATAGACACAGTGGAGTGTTCACCCATGCGACCCAGGACAGGTGACTGCGAACCAACACCAAATTACAAATTTACTTAAACTTTAGGTGATACTTTTGAAAGTAAAAAATTTATTACTGAGCCTGGCTTGATGGCGAACACCTGTGATCCCAGCACTCAGGAGGCAGAGGCAGGTAGATTTCTTTGAGTTTTAGGCCAGCCTGGTCTACAATGAGAGTTTCAGGACGGCCGAGGCTACACAGAGAAAGAAAACCTATCTTGAAAAAACATTTTTAAAACTTTTTATGTGTAAGGGTATTTTGCCTGCATGTTTGTCTGCTCACAGTCTGCATGCCTGGTGCCCTCAGAAATCAGAAGAGGGTGTTGGATCCCCTGGAACCGGAGTTACAGACCACTGTGAGCCACCACGTGGGAGCTGGGAATCCAAGCCCAGTCCTCTGGGACAGCAGCCGGGGCTGTTAACCACTGAGCCACTCTCCAGCCTCCACTGTGCTACCTCAGTTTTGAGGTTCTTAACTGTGACCTTTATAGATGACAGCACCTGTGCCGATGACAAAAGGCTGGCAGTGCCTGTGAGGGACATGACTCAGTCTGTCTGTCATCCTTGAAACAAACACACAGACTGCCAAGGGGATATCAGACATGCTGCAATGAGCCACAGGCCGCAGCTTCCTCAGTGAGGCCGGCATCTGGGAGAGAGTTCTGAAACGGTTACTACGGTCTACACAGGAAGAGAGCTGTTTGGAATCCAACGTGGTCTTTTTTTAAAGCAAGTTACAGAGCTCCACTATCCTGGAATTCTCACTGTAAGACTAGACACGAGCCAGTGAATGCAGGCATGGAGGCGGTCCAGATGCTTGCAGGGTGGGGGCGGGGGAGAGCTGCTCTCAGCCTGGGTCTTCCATGCACTCACAGCAGGGAGATGGATTCGGCTCTGTAGTTCTGGTGTGGAGTGCTGCTGTAGGAAGGTCTCTTGCCTGGCTATGCCCACTCCGTCTGCGCCTACCGGAGGCAGGGCAGCAGTGCCAGGTCCAGGTGGAGCGGAAGAAGGCACCCCTGTCCCCTTTCTGTATGGAGGGGACCGAAGCCTGCTGGCTCCAGCCTCCCCAGTGTACAGGCCTCAGAGCTGGGATCTGGGTAGGTCTCTTCTCTCTTTCTCCCCTGGGCTGAGAGAGGAGGAGGGACATGGGTGAAGACAAATGGATGGGACCTGGGCGGCAGTGGATTGAAGTCCTCTGAAAATGAGGAGGCAATGTGGAGTCTATTTTTGGAATTGCGTCCTAGCTACCTGGTCTCAGAGGCCAGGCCCCTAAGTTTGCATTTGGTGCAGTGAGCAGGAACCCTAACCCTTGGAGGCTTCAGGACATTCTCAAGAGAGGCTTGATGGAGAAGCTGGCAGTAGACGCTGGCTAGTTACTGAGGGGAGAGCCTGGGTGGGGCCCGTGGCAAGGCAGTGAGCCACCCTTGTTCTCATTCTTCACAGTGGCTCTCACCCTCAGCTTCTTAGAAGCATGCCTCCTTCAGTCTCTGACCCTGAGCTTCCAACAATATCTGAGGTAGCCATTTTATTTCAATACCGCCTAGTCAAGGGCTGGGCACAGGACACCCTCCGCCAATGGAAGCCCTTTCCTAGGAAGGCTGACCTGGAAGTGAGAGAGCGAGGAGGTCTTTCTCTGATGATAAAACTGTAGGCCTGGATGAGCTGTCAGTACTCAAAGACCTGAAGGTCAGAAATGGAATATGGGACCTTGGTTTCCCCTCAGGCTGGGGATTTAGTCAACCCTTTACCTCACCATCATGCAAACAACACTCACCAACCCCGTTACAACTTAATCTGCTTAGAACTTTTGTCACTTGTGAGCCCCAATGTTCAAGAGAAATGTGTGTCTTTCACAATTTGATTATAAAATTAAAAAAAACACCCCTCCAACTTCCCCAAAAACAAACAAACAAACAAACATAAAACCAAAAAACACTGTTGGGTTGATCTGTAAGCATCTGGTCTAGTTCTTGTACATTGCAGTCTGATGCAGGAACTCTGGGCTCTGTGGAGGCAGGGCTGGGGCGGCCCCTTCAGAGCAGGATGGACCCATCTCCCTCACTTGTGTAGTGAGTAAAGCTACTCAAAATGCTCTCCTGCCTGCTCCTCTGGGATTCAGGCGAGAAGCTGGGGTGGACGGATCGACCGCACAGGACGGCCAGGCACTTCCGGTACAGGTGTCGCAGGTACCGTCTGAACTTTTCCCCAGCAAAGGCGTAGATGAAGGGGTTGAGGCAGCAGTGGCTGAACGCCACTGTCTCCGTCACGCTGAGGGCCAGCCTCAGGCCCCGCTTCACGTCACAGCTGGGAAAGAAGTCGTAGAGCTTGAGGGTCTCCAGGAAAATCACAATGTTGTAGGGCGTCCAGAAGAGGAAAAACACCCCCACCACAAGCAGGATGAGTCTGATGGCCCTGGCCTTCTTGTGATTCTTGCAGGAAAACAGCGTCTGGATGATGCGGAAGTAGCAAAAGCCCATGAGAAGCAAGGGCAGCACAAAGCCCAGGATGTTGGCTTCCGCGTTGCGGAGCACAGGCCAGACTTCCTGGAGGACCTCGGGATAGTCACCCAGACACTCATTGTCCTTTCTCTTCGTGAACATGAACTGGGGGGACGCCACTAAGATGGCCGCTGCCCAGACTCCCAGACTGATGGTGACGCCGTGCTGTACCGTTCGGTTGTTCATGGAGTTGGCGGCCAGGACAATGGCCAGATACCTGTCGATGCTGATGACGGTGATGAAGAATATGCCCCCGAAGAAGCCGATGAAGAAGAAGGCGGTGGTGAGCTTGCACAGGGCGTTGTGGAGGCCTTCGTCGCTGACCAGATAGTGAGTCCAGAGGGGCAAGGTGGCCACAAAGAGCAGGTCACTCAAGGCCAGGTTCAGGAGGTAGATATCGGTGATGCTCTTGGGCTTTCGGCTGTTGGTGAGGGCAAGGACCACCAGCAGGTTTCCCACCAGGCCGAACGAGAAGACGAGGGAGTAGAAGATGGACAGGAAGACGGTCCCAAAGGCCACAATGTCACCCACATAACAGGCCTCGGCGGAATCATCATACACAAAGTTCTCTAGATCCAGTTCAGGGAAATCGGTGGACATGGTGAGGTCCTGGAACAGGCGAGAAAGCAGGACTCGTTAGCCCAAGGGGACTGTGGGTCCTCTGTGTGGAACAAACGGGAGCAAGCACTGGATGGGGCTTACTAAATGTCACCTTCGCTCATCCTCGCTTTAAAAAAATTTTAATTTAATATAATTAAATTAATTTAATTTTTATTTAAATATTTAAATAATTTAATATTAATTTAAAATAATTTAATTAATATAAAGGTGTCAGATCCCTTGGAATTGGCATTACAGACAGTTGTGAGCTGCCATGTGGGGGCTGGGAATTGAACCCAGGTCCTTTGGAAGGACAGACAGTGCTCTTGACCACTGAACCATCTCTCCAGCTCCTCATCCTATCTTTTAAAACTTTTTTTATTTTTTATTTTTTAATTTTTGAAACAGGCTCTCACTATGCAAACCTGGCTTGCTTGGAATAGGGTATGTAGACCAGACTGGCCTACACCTCACACATACCTGTCTGTCTCTGCTTCCTGAATGTTGGGATCGAATGCCTCTGCCCACACTTTGTTGGCTGCTTTGTTTGTTTGGTTGGTTTTTTGAGAAGGGGTTTCTCTGTGTAGCTTTGGCTGTCCTGGACTCACTATGTAACCGAGGCTGGCCTGGAACTCAGAGATCCACCTGCCTCTGCCTCCCAGAGTGCTGGGATTACAGGTGTGCATGACCTTGCCCAGTTTGCTGGCTGCTTTTTTAAAAACAAAAAAACCAAAAAAACCAAAAAACCAAAAAAAAATTATTTTATTTAAAGTTATGTGCATGTGTGTTTGTATGTGGGCAGGCATGTGAGTACGCGTGCCTCCTGAGTCCTGAAGGAGCTGGAGCTGGACTTACAGACGGTTGTGGGCTACCTTGACAGGGAGGCTCCCCAGATGTGGGGCCACCCCGACATGGAGGCCACCCTCTCTTCCTGAGTCCTCTTCAGGAGCAGTACTGCTCGTGTCCAGCTCATTGATGGGATTTAAAATCACCACAGAAACAAATCCCTCAGCACGTGTCAGCCTGGTCTACAGAGTGAGTTACAGGACAGCCAGGGCTATACAGAGTAACCCTGTCTTGGAAAACCAAACCCCAAACCAAAGCACTCTAGGTGGGTGGAGCCATTTCATGGACTGGACACCCAAACCTCCTAGGAAAGGAAGAGAAAGTGAGGGGAGCCGCAACAGCTGACCAGGTGCTCACCCTCCGGCCACCTCCTGAGGGGAGGAAGGGTCACACTGCTGTGTTCAGAGAGTGTGAGGCCACTGCCTGGTCCTGACCAGCTCGAAAGTTGCTGAGTGGTCCAGAGCTGGCAGCTTCCGCTCAGCCACCACAGAAGAGGCTGTGATCTCTTCTTCCCTTAGTTGCTTCTTGTCAGGTGGAAAATGACCAGCAGAGTGCCTCACTCTTGTTCCAGGATACGAATATCTTCCCTGGGCTGAGCACCATGGAAACCTCCTCAGTCCCACTGGGTGGGCCACCTCACAGCCCCAGGTAGAGAGGAAGCACTGTCCTGAATCTCAGGTCTGCCAGCTCAGGAGGGCCAGCTGACCCAGGCAGAGGATGGGCTCCGGCAGCCTGCTGCCCTGGGTCTCAGTGGCTCATCTATCTGGATATTCCCAGCCCTAACCTACTCCTTACTCTTTCTCCTGTTTTCTTATGGGCAAGAGTGGGAGCAGAGGACGTTCTCCACAGGTTGGGTAATAAAGCATGCCCTCTTCCCGGGCACTTCCCAGCCAGGATGTGCTGCCCGCTCACCCCACACGGCTCCTCTGGCCTCCTCCTCCGTCCTTTGAAACCACAGACAGACCCTCAGAAGCATTTCAGGGGTGCCTCAGCCTCCCTCCCCGCTGAACGGAAAGCAAAGCTCCTGGTCTTAACCGAGGGAGTTTCCACACCCACTGCACCCTGCTCACCATGGTTCCACCGCAGCCCACCCAGCCAGCCACGGCTTCTTCCTGCATCGCCTGCCGTGAATTCAGCCAGCCTCTTCTGTGGTGGCTGAGCCCAGGCTGTCCGCTGTGGACCACCTCGGGCTGTGCTGGAGTTCAGGCTGCAGGAAAAGCATGTGCAGTCTCTGCTCCAGGCCGTTTTCTCTGAGAACCTCGGCCATGATCTCACTCAGCAACATTCAAGCTGGTCAGGACCAGGCCAGGCCTCACAGCCAACAGGTGTCCCCCAGGTGTCAATGAGCTTTGTTGTTAGCAGCCTGGCAAGCACAAAGCCTTGGGGTTGGTAACATATGTGTGTGATCCCAGCAACAGAGATGGAGGCAGGAGAACAGGAGTTCAAGGTCATGTCATCATTGGCTACAGAGCGAGTTTCAGTCCAACCTGGGATATTTGAGACTCTGTCCCAAAAATAAGTGAATAAATCAATATTCCCTAAAACGGGTCATTTCATACGAGCAAGCAGAGCTGCTACTTAACCGGGAGGCTCATTACACGTGGAAAATTCTCTTCCCAGATATGAAGGCAGTCCGTGTGAGGTCAGAAGTGAGGGGTCCCAGGAGGAGATCAAGGCCAGGAGACCCCGCTCTCCCTCCGTCCTGGGTCTGCTTTCCAGCCCAGCAGCTTCTGTGCTCTCACAGAGGACGGGCGCCTCTAGCTAGTGGATGTGCCGGGAGCCCCTCTGCAAGCCTGGGTTCACCTGGTGAGCGAGCACAGCTGTTCTGAGGAGAGGGCCCATTCGGGATCCACGCTCACAGCAGGCACTTGGAGAGCCCTTCAGCCTTTAGCCTCACCCACGCTGTCCATGGACTCTCATGTTTTACCAGACCCTGAACACGGTGGAAAGTTGCTATTTAAAGATGACATTGTTTTTTCCACTGACGTGAAAACGATGTTTTTTTTTCCTTCTTATTTTGAAAGTGGAGGAGAGTTTGACACCCTTTATTGAGCTCTAATCGGTTCAGACAGCTGACTACAGAGAATCTGAACGACAGAACACCAAACACCTGCCTCAAGGCAAAAGCTTGAGATCCATGTGAGGCCCCGTGGACACAGGATGCTGCCTCTTGTGAGCAGGCTGGAAAGGTTGTGTGTGCGTGGCTGAATAGCTCTACAGGGACGAGCTTGTGCTGGGAGCAACACGCTGGAGGGCAGTTTTGGAGACCAAAGGATAGGGAAAAGGAGATTTAGTTTTTACTATACACACTTTGATTTTTTTTTTCTTAGCTATGTAAGTATTCTCCATTTGGAAAATATTTTAATTGATTGATTTTCAACTTTTAAAATCAACAAAAGCCGGGCAGTGGTGGTGCACATACGCCTCTGTGGCTGTGGGCCTGGGCCCTTAGACACACTGCAGTTCCCTGCAGTGTTGGACGAATGAGTGAGTGAGTGAGTGAGTGAATCAGGAACTGTAAGACCTGCCGCACCCCGGGGGGTCCCAGCAGGGGCTGACCCGTCTCCACAGTGTGGAAAAGACCCTCTGTCATCTCAGCATCTATTCTTACTCATCACTGGCGATCGACGATCGACGGGGCAGACACCTGTGCCAGCAGTTTCTGCCCTGTCCCCTAGGCAGATGCTGAGAAGCAATGCTTCGTCAGCCGCCTGAGTCAGACAGGGAATACGCACAACACCTCCATCTACCTGGAAGGGGCTTGCGGAAAGGGTCAAACCCAGCGTCATCAACCAGCCCCGGGGGGGGGGGGGCGCGAGGCGTGAGGATTCCATTCGTGCTGTCAGGGAAGAAGGCCCCTCCCCCGAGCCATTCTCAGCCCGATGAACCGAGCAAAGGAACTTTCTGCTCTGACCTGAGCAAGCCTTTAAGTCTGGGTCCTCTGAGACCCAGGATTGGGAGGTGAACCGAAAGACAGGGCAGCAGATTGAGTACAGCCAGGAGTCTAGGGTGGTCTTCATTTTGAGGCCAGCCTGGGCTAGTTAGAGACCTGCCCCCAAGCTGGCATTCTGTGGAAGCTGAGGAATTCAACAAGGAAATCCTCTGCAGAATTCTAGCACTGGGGGTTAGGGGTGGGGGTGGGGGTGGGGGATGATGCAGATCCTTGGGGCTCACTGGTCAGTTAACTAAGCCCATCGACACCTGGTCTAAAGACGTCAGGCGGATGGTGCCTGAGATTGACCTCTGGCCTCCACACGCGTGCGTGTGTGCGTGTGCACAGGAGCACCCGCACACGCGTGCACACACAGATGTGCATGTAAATCTCCTCACTACCCCCACCCAGAACGCCCTCCTCCCACAGATCTCCCGCAAATCCCTGTAGGCCTCCGTCCTCTCTGGCAGCGGCTCTTGGTTTTAATAACCGGAACTGAGCAGGGTAGTCGGGGTTGAGCCCAGAAGCAGGGCTTGGGGTTCTCCGTCAGTTCTCAACCCTGCGGGAGCTAAATGGCCCTCTCACGGGGGTTGCCTCCGACCATGGGAAAGCACAGGTATTTATATTATGGTTTATGACGGTGGCAAACATTACAGTTATGAAGTAGCCATGAAGTAATTTTATGGCTGGGGTCACCACGGCATGAGGAACTGCATTTAAAGGTCGAAGTTCTAGGAAGGTTGAGAAACACTGTTCCAAATCCAAATAGAAATGACTCCTCTATGACCCACTTTATAAAACTTCCCCTTACTCTCACTACCCATCCTGGTCCACTTCCTCTGGCCACTTCCTTCTAGCATGCTCACTCCTTATTTTATTTTTTTAGCTTTCCTTGTGCATGGGATGGGGGGGGGGGTCCTCGCCTGCACCCTCTAGCCGTCTTCCTGTCTCTTTACTTCCCTTTTTCTTTGGTGACCAAGCTCTTTGCTTCTCTCTCCCCCGAACACTTTTTAGGATGCTCCCCTGGCTCCCCATCTTGCTTATTGATTTTTAAATCCAGTGTCTCGCTTTAGAAGCTGACTCCGCTGGGTCGCTGAGCGCGGCTTTTCAGTGTGTTCTGAGGACGGAGCTCCAGTCCCATGCTGCTCTGTAAATGTTTCACTGACCAGGCGATGTCTCAGTCTCCGACACACACACACACACACACACACACACACACGGTACAGAGAGA